CTTCTTTTATATTTCCCATCACACGAAGTAGACAAATATCAATATTTTTCTTTTATCAGGACCAGATTGAAAAGTGCATCTGTGTGTGTTTATATAAACGTACATACATACATTTCTGAATCCAGTTCTGATAACATTAAAAAAAATATATTTACGTGTGAACCTTACAAAACTGTAGTATTCTAATAAAGATTAATTTTTTATTTTTCGTAGACTAGTGGCCATATACATTTGATCTATTTATGAAATGATTGATTTCTTGAAGTTTTTTTCTTATTGTAAGCTGTAACATTTCCAGCTGACTTTTCTAATTGCTGTAAATATCTAAATTCTCAAAATATTGAAAAAATTTTGTGCAGCGATCTAAGAGACTACTATAAATAAAAGCTAGAATTTTGCCTCGCATATTTTTTCATCTTATATGTGTGTGTATAAGATATATATATATACATATAAGATATATATATATATACATATATATATATACATATAAGAATATATATATATATAAGATATATATATACATATAATATATAATACATATAAGATATATATATATACATATAATATATAATACATAAGATAGATATATATATATATGTAAGTAAGGCGTAAAATCAGATGTTCTCCAAAAAAAGGTTATTTATACACTGATTATTATTAATCAAGGAAAAATCACAAAAATGGTTATTACTCAAGAAGCTGCATGCAGAATTTAATAAATCTAACCAACAGTATACAGCACACAGTAAAACATGATATTACCAGACAATTATGATGTATATAAAGTCAGCAAACTGGATAAGTCATTTTGATATAGGAAAACTACTTCCCCTTTTAAAAGAGGATTAGAGGACCCATTCCACTAAATCCTAAATCCTGGTGGTAGCGAATTATCATCCACCACCTTTTAGTTCGGGTGCCATTGTAGAGTTATTAGGTTATCTTGATGCAAGAATGTAAAAAATATGCAATGCCGTCATGGGGATTCGAACTCCAGATCTCCCGAATAGACATCAAGTGTGCTTACACCATGGAGGAGGCAGAAAGTAGTACTTAATAATTTGATAGCATGTTCATATTTTAAATGGATTGGCTTATTTTAAAACGAGTCATCTTGTTCTATTTTTGTGATTTTTCCTTAATTTGGGGAACCAGTTTAATGAATTAATACAAAACTTGCTAGATAGTGTGAGATTATCAATTTCAATATCTGAAGAAAATATTGTTGCAGCAGAAAACTGCACAGAAATGTACTGGTCGATGTAGAGTGCAACCTTTAATCCACGTAGCCGAAAAAATTGGCCCTGTGATTAGCAGTGGTACTGGAAAATATGATTTAATTCATATATATTGAAAATTAAAATATTTATTTCAATTTGCTTTCTTAAATTTTCTGGGCATGTTTATAAAGCCCTTCAGAAAACAAAACCTGTCATAGTGACTCCATACCGAAATGACTAAATAAGTGATTGAATCATATAATAATTTAAATAATGCATTATAATTATAAATATTTTGGAAATACAGTTAGTACAAATAGAATTCTAGTACATCATGATATTTACCCTTTTGAAGACGGGGTGGCCATTATAGTGGCCATAGAGTCCTCTCTTTGAAAAGACGGGGTTGTCCACTTTAGTGGCCATGTCTTTTTCCCCCATTTTCCAGACTGAAAAGTGGGGTGAAATGTCAAATTTAATGTCCCTGGGGATTTAACCACTTATCTCTTTCAAAGATCTTCCTTTTGCGACATAGATGCACCCCTCTGAGAAACCATTAAACTACACGCAAGAATCTTTGTTACAAATAGGAGGTGATTTCTTAAAGGGGGAAAAGCATTCGGTTCAAGATTCCCCGTCCTTTGGTAGCTTTTTCTGCTACCAAAGCCCCGGCCTCAAAAGGTTAATATATAATTAAGCTGTTCATTTGAGAGTGTATTTTTGAATTTTCTCAAGGTTAATTTTATATTGGCGAGTAAGTAAGACTCAACTCATACATGTAAAATAATATTTACAATAAAATCATATATATATATATATATATATATATATATATATATATTTGGTTAGATTCAAGAGACTACAGTTTTGAAACACTACATTTGACAAGTTGCGCAGAAATTCTGCTTCTTGTGAAAAGCTATTTTCTTCAAACTTTTCGATGATACAGCCAGTTCATGAAAATTACGATATAATCAAATGTTTTAAAATTTATCTTTTGAGAATTTTAAGATAGTCTCTTGAGGGTTTATATTGTTATTATAATTTGTTGCATAATATGAGCTTACTGATTTCACTTTCATTACGCCTTTAAAAAACCAACTTTTACACAAGCTACCAACAGTGTATCCGTTACTTAGCATTCAGTGCTTTAAAGTGAAAGAGTGATTAACAATTTTACACGTATAAAAAACAATTATTAGTTACAAATGCATATGCATTTATAAATATGTGCATTTATTTATATTCATTAACTTGGCATTGTCTGGTCCTGATACCTAATTATCATTGGCTCTATGTATTTAAAAATCATAAATAATAGTTGCATGTAAAATAAAGTCACTTACCTTTATAAAATTTTGCAATGATGAGAAAATAGCCTTACACGCTTCTGGAATAAGTATGTTAATTGTGCATTTTAGCACTCGAAAAAAATATTAGAGAGAACTGTATGAGTTGCTAGAAGCCGAAGCACTATCTGCAGTTTAAATTTTGCTGGCAGAGCATCTCGAAAGAGGGTACTTTTTTCCTGAATAAGGAAATTGATCATTTCCAAAACAGTTTCAAACTGTCCTTCACTCATTCTTATGAAGTTTTTGTAAGTTTAGACCTCCTCATCCCGAAGTTCATTTAAAAGTTAATTTGTGCTCCTAATTGATCATAGCAAGCTACCCAGTCACATACCCATTTCCTTTTCTTCTTCTTCTTTTTTTTTTCCCCCCAAGAACAGAAATAAATTCATTTTAAACTGCTTCGCAGACTTCAAGCACTTCAGCTGCCATGTTGGTATCAATTTTGTAAACAAATGGAGGAAAGTTGTCAGACCACTCTGTTTGGTTTAAATAATCTATCAGAGTACAGGTCTGTTCACTCGGGTCGAGACGCTCGGACAGTAGTAAACTGACCTTTAGTTATTTTCAATTAAAACTTGCAGAAATTGTGAAATAAAATTATACAAAAAAGAAAAAAAGAATTTAACAGAGATATAAAAGTTTGTGATATTCAATTTTCAAGTATTTGAAAATTTGCTATAGCCTGTAACGCTAAGTGTGTAGGGTATTCTAAAAGACCACAAAAATTTGTTTAATTTCAACCAGGTACATTTTAGCAGGTTTTGACTTTATGTATCAGATAATATGATTTTGTATTAATAGCATTTTATATTACAGTACAAATTCCGTAATTGGGACCTCAAAGCCACAAACTTTTTTTTTTTTTTTTTTTTTTTGTATGCTTTACGCATGAGCGTTAATGCGCATTGGGAGGACGTGTCTCCAGATATGTTAAAAAATGCTTGGCATAATTTATGGCCAGCTACCATATTTTATGGTGAGGACGATGAAGATGATAGCTGCAAATTTGAAGGTTTTTGGACATCGCAAACTAAAAGGGAAAATTTCCAGTTATTGGATTTTGTAAAGAAATGTCGAGAAGTGGTAATAAATGAAGATGATATAACAGAAGTTTTTCATTATGACGTCAATGCCCCAATCATCAATCAATTAACGGATGGCGAAATCTGTAGTATGGTTCTAGATCCAGAAAATACCACTTCCGATAGTGAAGAAAGTGACAGAGAGGTTACTGAAAACGAAAAAGTTTCAATTGACAAGTTAGTCGGTATTCTCGACACAGCAATCACAGGACTTGAACAGTGGAACTTTGTAATTGAACAAGAAATTATGTCTGTTTATAGAATTAAAGAGAAAGTATTAGCACAAAAAGCAAAGCAACTTAAACAACTTACATTAAAAGAAATGTTTAATAAAGTAAACAAATAAATATTAAGCCTTTTTTTTTTTTTTTTTTTTTTTTTTTTTTTGTAAATTTTGATACTGTTTAGATCATAATTGCTCTTTATTTTATAAATTACGGTTGTCATATTTTTTATTGTAAAATTTCTGCATGCCATCTTACCAGATATAGTTGATGATCTGTGATCCGAAAAAACCCCTAATCTGGAATCGCCGAAGTCCTGTTGAGTCCAGATTATGGACTCTGTACTGTATTTGCAGAGTTGTTGATGTTAAATATCGTGAATTTTGGTCTAATATTTTGTTTACCCTATGAGCACCACGGGTTTTTGGATCTGTTGTGAAGACCTGTATATATGTAGCATTTATTAGCTAAATTTATATGATTACTTATTTAATGTAAATTTTAAGTCTTCTATACCATACTTGTTTAAACTAATTTTTTATGGTATTGGAAAATGCAAGTTAAGTATTACTCAATTTGGAAATTTTTCTCGGCAAGAAAAATCATTCTCCAGCTGAATTAATTTGAGGCTTTTGGTTTTCAAAATCAGTTAATGAATTCTGCTCAGGTTTTAAAAAAAGTAATATAAAATTTTAAAATTTAATTTTCAGTGAGTAAATATAACTATATACATAATCAAAAATCAGTTTTCAAAATCAGTTAATGAATTCTGCTTAAGGTTTTAAAAAAAGTAAAATAAAATTTTAAAATTTAATTTTCAGTGAGTGAAATTAACTATATTTGTGGAAAATGTTGTTTTAAATCTAATTGAAAGCAACTTTTTATTTAAAATTTTAAAAAGTTGTAGTAGTTAAAATTACCTCAATCAATTATAAATTAAAATAATTTATTCAAAAGAGATGGAAATAAATAGGTAGCTCTTACCAAAATGGTCTGAAAAAGAATATTAAAGATCATAAAAGTTTCATTGACATCTTTTTTTTAAAATAGTACGTTTTTCCACAATAAATTTTGAAACAAACACAATTAATTCTGTTTTGTTCTTCTTTCCCCCAGATATGGTTGAAACATTTCAGAGGAGTGACTTAGGTGAATTTGGCATTAGTTACAAGGTTGCTTATACACCTGATGGAAAATGGTGAGCTGCAACGTAATTGCTTCCAAGTGAATGGTAGTAATGAAAACCCTGTGACCATTCAGAGTATACTTCCAGATTTAACTGGCTTTAAAGTAAGTTAATAAATATACTTTTTGTTAAAAGTGTTTTTTTATTTATTTAAATACTTATCTAAATAGCAGTTGCATTGGAAAAAAGGATTATGCCTAAAATGTTAACAAGTACAAAGTCCAAGATCTAGAATTGTTGGGACTTTCTGTTGGGTCCTGATTTAACTCATCTGTTTAAATCTGGTAAGATTACATGTAAAGAATATAACATTAAAAATATGAAAGTGCGTTTATAAAGTAATAAAACATTTATCACTTTAATGGAACCAAAATTTACAGAAGAAAAAATTCTTAATATTTGTTTTGTTTCATTAAAAAAAATTTTTCAACTGGAGTTGCTTAAGCATTTTATGTATTAATACTTTCTGTATAATTTTATAGAGACATCATTTCTTGTTAATTACAAGCTGTATGATTGTCATGTCGAGAATCATTTAAAATCTTTTCATTCTCAGTAACATCTTTATCCAGGGTTCGTAGCGGTCCTTACAAGTGCTTATAAGTCCTTATATTTGAAAATAAAATATAAAGGCCCTTATAGGTGCTTACTTTTTCTTTAAAGCCCTTATTTTTTTTTTTTTTTTTTTTTTGTTTGTTTTTAGTGCTTATTTTTTGCTTTTAGTGCGTTTTTTTTTTAATCCTTTTTTTTTTTTTTTAATGAACGCGCATTTTTTCCCCGTACTAAAGCCGAAACTAAATAAACATCTTTTGTTCTTTAAATGCAATGTCAGATAGTGAATCATGCTCCCGGAAATTGCTTTTCCCCCTTGCATTTCATAGCTGTAACATATGGTGCGCGCGAGAGTGCAGACAGGTGCACGTCGTTCTATTGGTCAAAGAATTGCGAAAATGGAAGAAAATTCCGGTACATTCGGTATTCTTTTCCTCCCAACCAAATACTACACACGTTTGAATTTCTATCAAGATTTTAATAATTTACATTCTTGTTCCGCGTGGTGAGTTCATATTTGTGTTTATTATGATCTCTATGCTTATATTAAGAGCATATGCATGAATATTTATAATAATATAGTTGCAGTAACTGCTGAAGTATAGATAAAGTTCCAAAAATTGGGTGTGTTTTTACACAGATTAGCTTTCTAGGGAATAATATTCGGAATGGCTTAAATAAAAGGAAAGTAATCGAATAGTAAAAAAAAAAAAAAAATTCCCAATACATTTTACAGTACGGAGGTTTGGAGGTTCTCCCCTTTCTCCGCAAAATCTCTAATATTGAAGCACCGGACTTATTTTTTTCACTGTCCAATTGGATTGAATAGACTAAAATTTCTTGCGGTCTACCCAACCTAAGCGAAGATTGATTCTATTCCGGAAATTTAACGCAGTCTGTTGAAAATTAGAATCAGAAACATCCCAGATTAGTAAGTGTTGTATCTCTCAATAGAATTCTAAAAGGTAAAAAAAGATCTCTTACCTTTTCTTTCACCCGGGAGCCGAGCTTGTTCCATTCCAAATTCTTATTCGATGAAATATCTAAATAATTCCAAGCTTTTGCATAAAGACTGACACTTCTGTATAAATAAAGATATTATATTTAGATACATTTATACATTTTATATACAATTATTAGGTTACATAAAAATTACGCGCTCTCCATCTAACAGTCATTCGAGTTCGGGTTCAGAGTTCTAACTACGTTCTTACGTAGGATTATTCTCGAGTTTAGATGTAATGGTGCTGATAGTTCGGAGTTTAGATGTGGTGGCGCTGATAGTCCGGAGTTTAGATGTAACATCACCTCCCACCATTGAGATCCGACGATGCGGAGGAACTCAATACACACAGGTCCAGTCGATGAGGAGGCCGAACAACTCGTCCAGCTCTGGTCATCACTCGAGGACTTGAGGCAGGTTCTGGAATACTAGCAGCCTGATCAGCCTGACCAGTTGCATGGTCGTTTCTATCTCGAGGTGCTCTGTCGGGGAACGGAGGGCCAACGGATTCGGAAGTAGAGATCTCAACAACGGGAAAAGCCGGGGCACTGGACGAAGCAGAGAATTCCATTTCTTGTCTTGACCCTCGCTAGTCTAACTATTCCGTCTTTACTGGGAAAAAGCTCGACTATCTTGGCTAAAGGCCAATGTATGCGTCGTCTCTGGCTGTCTTCCAATAGAACGACATCGCCTACTTGCAACTGTTGAAATTTTCCCTTCTTTATTGCCTGTTGTCTCAACTGACCAAGATATTCATTACGAAATCTGTTTCGTAGATCATGTTGGGTATTGATTTTAAGATGGCTAGTATTTGGTTTTGGAATTATACATTTTAGTCCGAAAAGTATCAGGAACTATTGATGACGGCAATTCTTGCAGGAACATCATAGGGGTCAGTGTGGTGATGGATCTTGATCGATATATCCTCTGATACGTATGTGATAGGTCGCGAATTAATCACTTGTTCACAGTCACATAATATAGTATATAATTCTTCATAATTTAAGGACGTTCGACCTAACACTCTTCTTAAATTTTCTTTCACCATTCGCACAAGCCTCTCCCACCAACCTCCCCACCAGGCGGCGGTCGGAGGGTTGAACTTCCATCGTATCCTTTGGATAGAAGCAGCTGAACATATGGCGTTCCAATTAACTTTCTTAAGAACACTGTTAGTCCCTACAAAATTAGTTCCGTTGTCGGAATATATCACATAAGGTCTACCTCTTCTGGCAATGAATCTACGTAAAGATTGGATGAAAGTTTTGTCGTAGAGATAGAGAAGTAACTAGTTCGAGGTGAATGGCTCTATAAATGGCACATGTATACAAGACTATCCACGCTTTAGACCCCTCACGGAGATAGAGAGGACCCGCTAGATCTACACCGACGACTTCAAAAGTCGCCCCTTCTCTGACTCGATCTTCGGGTGGAAATCCTGGCTCGACTTCCACTCTTTGTGAAACAAATCTTTTACATCTTACACATTTTCTGATAATATTTCGAATACTTTTCCTGGATTTTAATATCCAAAAGTTTTCTCTAAGATTTGTCATTAAAGTGCTGACACCAGCATGCTGGAGTTCTAGATGTTTCTCGTAAATTAGTCTCTCAACAAGAATATGTTTTGAAGGTAAAATGATAGGATATCGGAAATTTTCATTATCTTGACGCTGTAGGACGTTCGTTTTGGCTCTTAAAATTCCATTTTGGTCTACGATTGGTCTCAGCGCACGAATAGCGGGATCGTTTATGCCTGTAAATGATTCTTTCTGTACCAATCTACAAAGTGCCTTTTCAGCATTCTCCAATTCATCAACTGAGACATCAGGAGTGAGGTTTTATCTTTGTTCTTTAAATTGTGATAAAACCTGAAAATCCAAGCGATCATTCTCACGGTTTTTCTATATGAAGAGAAGTATTTGTAGTACCGGTCCAAATTGTCTCCATGATCTAGAAGAGTCAGAATCGTTTTCCTTTTTTCTTTGTTTATAAGTTTCTTCATCAGGCTTTTCTTCTACATGGGGCCACTCGTCTTCTGGTAAGTAAAGCCACGATGGGCCCTCCCACCATGCCGATTTCTGTAATTGCTCAATAGTACATCCTCTCGATGGGAGATCCGCTGGGTTTAAACTTCCAGGTACATGCCTCCAGTCAGATATTCTGGTAAGCGATCTTATTTCTTGTACTCGATTGTGAACAAACGTACCCCATGCTTGATCCCTTCTTATCCACCCCAAAGCTGTAGAAGAATCACTCCAGAACACTGTTCTACAATTCTTAAGTTTCAAATCTGATAGAATTGTTTTGGCAAGCCTGGCACCTATCAGACAGGAGAAGAAGTTCAAGCCGTGGAATCGTAAGTTCCTTAATAGGGGCTATTCGACTTCTCGCGCTTACTAACTGAACCTTTACACCTTCGATGGTTTCAGCTCTTAAAAATGCACATGTGGCATAGGCTCTTTTACTAGCATCCGAAAAAACGTGGAGCACTACGGTATCTTCGTTTTCGTAATCAATATTTAACCAACGAGGAATTTCAATCTGAGATAGCAGAGGCAATTGGTTCAACCAAGTCCCAAACTGCTCACTTAGGGGAAGAGGAAGATCTTCATCCCACTTAATCTTCTGGTTCCATGTTTCTTGCAAAATTAGCTTAGGAATTACAGTTATCGTGTGCAGTAAAGCCAATGGGATCAAAAATTTTCTGGGTAATTGACAAAACTTTTCTTTTGGTAATAGGTTCCCTCAAGTTAAATGTTTCTTCGATCTTGCAACTCAAACTATCTTTTTCTAAATCCCATACTAATCCTAATACTGGGACAACTTTCGTCTTGCTCTCTATCTCATCGATCATGTCAATGCGAAAATTTGATCGCCAACATCTCAAATTGAAATGCCCTGAAGCCAAAATCAATCTTGCTTCTTGAACGAAATTTTCGGCTTCATCTACGTGATTTAAGCTAATTAACGAATTATCGAGGTAAAATGAATCCTTCAAAATATTAGAAGTTTCTACAAACTTTTCTGGGACTGTAGTCAAAAGGTGACTAAGTGTAGCGGCTAGCAGAAACGGACTTGATGTGAGTCCAAAAACAACTCGGTTATGTCTGTAAATTTTAAACTTATGTTGATTATCGAACCATAGAAACCTTAAAAAATCTCTATCCTTTTCTGCTATTTTGATTTGACAAAAGGCCTTTTCGATATCAGATGACACTCCTATGCGATATTTTCGAAAACGATTCAATATACGTGGAATAATTTCTATTAAATTTGGTCCTTTACTCAAACAATCATTGAGAGAGGGTGAATTCTTAGAACGTGCAGATGCATTGAAAACAGGCCGTATCTTTGTAGTTTCACTAGACTCTTTTATTACAGGTCTGTGTGACAAGTAGTGCACTCCTTCCTCCTTTTCCTCAGTTACTACCTCAATAATGTCCTTCGCTTCCCACTCATCAAATATTTCTTCGTAATCTTTTCTTCTGCGTGTGTTAATTAGTTTACTTTCGGTTTTGACGAGGTGTCTTTCTGCCACAGTACGGT